TGCATTCCTGTACCTTATTTGCACCAAGAATATTAAAAGACTGGCATTGAAGCAAATTGGCAGGTACTTGCCTTGAGAGTCAGAGAGTTAGAGGAGCTGGATGAGGGAATGGGATGAGAAAAATTGAGAGCTTTGGTTTCTGCAGACAGTTAAATTTACATGACTGATAAAACATCCAAAGGTCAAATCTCTGGCCACGGAAACAGAACATTCAGGTCCTGTTCGGTTCATTGTTAGCTCGTCACAATAAACGATAACAACTTCTTACTGAATTGACTTTTGGCGTCCTTCCCTTTGTTTTAAAAGCAATCTAAAGCAACTGTAAATTTGCAAAGATGAGATTTTTTTTCTTAAATTGAAGTTGCTGTTTCAAGCTGTAGCGGTTAGAATGTTAAATGTGACAGCATAGCCCATTTCGATATGGTGAAGTGTTTCAGTTTAAGTATCTTAATATTTATTTGCTGGTTCCTGTTTGCGTTCCACGTTTCACGTGAGCATAGGTACCTTTACATACCTACTGTTACATGTAGATTCCCACGTGACTTTTGACTTGGCCTTTTGACAGCTTTTGATATGTCTCTACCAAATGTGTGTTTGTGATGGCATGTTGAACTCAAAAAGACTACAATTTGCTAGAAACAAAAGTGAGATCATAGGGTTGAATTTCTGTGACGTAAACACCGAGGGAGCCAAACTTCTGTCGTGTACCAGGGTGAGCAGAAGGTACCCCTCATAACGGGCACTTGTGACCACGTGCTGGGCTCCACGGTAACGTGAAGTGCTTGTACATAGGTGTAACATTATAAACACAGCAACGTGGATCCTATGCTTTGAGGAAAAAGGACCGTGTGGCCGCTCAGAAGAGGATGTGCATAGCTGCGGGGGCTGTTGGGCACTGGAGGAGTGATTACCTGTGTGTTAGAAAGCTGTGGTGCAGTCTTGTGGTGTGGGCGTTCTGTGTGTGTCAGTGATGATACATGTCAAGTGGTTCAGGGCATTTTAAAATAAATATTTTTGTTAGGAAAAAAGATCCTGACCGATGCTGAAATGGATAGCTTGTGATTGCCGAGTTGAACTTTTTTAATGTAGTGTTAATCATTTAGATTGCCAACGGTACGTTCTGATTTATTTTCAGCTGAGCAAGAAGTAAATACATTTGTAATGGAGCCATGTAATAAATCTGCATTTTGCTATCTTTTTGCATAGATTTTAATTGCAATAATGGTGTTTATTT